ATATATATAATCTAGTGGTTGAAAAGAAGATAATATAAGAAATGGAAGAGGGCATGTCTAATTATGCGGGTGGGCCCATCATGGCATACTTTAAAGGAATTGGGAGTTGCCTTTAGCCACTCACCGTTCAACCATCATAAATAGCAAAAAGAAACGATGGACGACTCTCAAAAGCTATTATAAATATATAAATAAATATATAAGAGTAATTTTTATACACATCATTCAAGTCCTTTCTTTTTATACATTTGACATCTAACTTTTATTATTATTTTTTTACATTTATATCACTCAAAATTATCATATTACGTACAAAATATCATTATTTAAACTTTTAAAAATAAAAATGCATTTTTCATGTTTACATAAAATTATATATTTATGTATGTAAAAATGTATACATAATTAAAGCGTCAAATAGTCTCTGACTATTTTCACAAAGTTGTTTTAGACCAAAAGTTTATAGAAGTATCAAATTATCTCCTGTTATAACATTATTACTAATCATATTGGCTTTATGAACTTTTTATTATTATTCATTTTTTGGGTTTTAATTTAATTATATATATATATATATATATATAATTTGGAAAAAAAATAGCACTTTGGATTTAGTTCATTATACATATATATATATATATATATATAGATATCACCTAAATATATTTGGAAGATTTAATTTTAATTTATATTTATATAAATACCGCACAATTCTTATCTATTTGCATGTATGATAGTTAAATTTTCTTTTGTACATTAATTATAGCATTTTATATTTATGCATAAGAATATATTTCATTTTTTTATTTTTATAGCACTTTATATTTATGCATAAGAATATATTTCATTTTTTTAAGTTGGAGCATTTACATATATATCACACGACTCATATATATTTAAATATCAACCAACTAAACTTTCATAATTACATTCATAGCTCACAAAACCTTAGTATTTCATTAAAATTATCACTATTATTAACTTTTTTAAAAGGAAGATTTACATACATACCACTAAACTCCTGTGCAAGCATTTGCATAGCCAACACATAAATTTCAATTTTACATACATGTCACCTTATTTATGCATTGAAATATGTATTTAACTTTAAAAAAAAGTTGATGTGATATGTGGACCACGTAGTTTATAGTAGTGATCATATTTGGGAGTTGGATGAGTCGTGGATCACATAAACTATAGTAGTGAGTTGTGATAACATTTATAGGTCGCAGTAATCGAGGGTGGGGGCTGCATCAGCCATGAACCATGTAGGTTGTAATTAGTCATGCAGGTCGTAATGGTAAGCTACAATTTTATCCATAGGTTGTAAGGGCTAGAGTTGGGAGCTACATGAACTATGGACCACATAGACTATATTTGGTCACATAATTTGTTATGACGAGATTAAATGAGAAAACTTCAGGAGTCTGAAGATAGTCATCGTATTCTAAGTACAGTAGTTGTAAGCAATTATGCAAGATACATTTTTACATCGTATTCCAAGTGCATCATTACAACAACTCCGGGATGTGTCGTTACATTGTATATAGGCGCGTCGTTACACCATATTCATGATGCATTTTACACTATTTTTAGAGCGCATCATTAGACTGTGTTTGGAGTGTATCATTGCATCGTATGCATGGAACATTGTTGCGCAGTATTTGGTGTGCATCATTACACCATATGTGAGACACATTGTTACAGTCTTCGAGATACGTCATTACATCATCTTCGTGGTGCGTCGTTATATTGTCTTTGCGGTGCGTTGTCATACTGTCGTTGGGGTGTGTCGTTACTTGTTACACTGAAACGTGCCTAGGGATTCTGCAAATTACATTGTGACTCAACAAGGAGTTTCATTGCAGTGAGTAGGGGAAGGCCGATGACAGTCGATGGCAGCCGGTGAGCAGTAGTCGATTGTGGCCGGCAACTATAAGAGTGTGAAGCATTCATCGTGTCTTTGGTTTGTAATGACATGGGAATTTGACCCTCTCCTCGTCCAACTCTTCCTCCTCTTGTATACAGGGATTAGAGCTCTATTTATATAGTTTGGGAGAGATCTCCCTACAGTAAAAGAAGAAATTCAGACAATTCCATTAAACATCCCAAAGAGATTCTTTAGATCGAATGACGTTTTCTGGACAATCGAGTGCTTTAACATTGTAGGAATATATTGATATTGAGTTTACTGAATTATGCATTTCAAGACACTCGACTTAAGTATAAGGTTTGATTTGACTCAGATTAGACCAACTTTTGCATCATTAAGTCAATCTTACCGATCCATTAAGTTCAACTACAAATTTATTAAAATCAGAATTCTCTATGATTTTGAATTTGAATTTGAGTGTTCCTTATAACAAAAAAAAATACCTCTAAGATTCGAGACACGTAGTGTCAAATGACAGAATTTATTAATAACATATTAAATACATAGTTATTATACATGCTAAGCATGCCAATTTTGTCTATTACAATAGTGAAAATTTAAATGGCCTTAATTTTAAGATATATATATTTCAATCATAAATGTTTTCTACTTGTCATAAAACATTTATAATTTAGAGTTCTTTTATAAATCTAATTTGTCTTGGCAACCTCCATAATGATGGCCACTAAATATTCTCCATTCTTTTTTACCAACATTTCAATTCGAAATAAATCTGCAGTAATAAGAAAATAGGACATTTACATATATACGGATATACCACCCAATTTCTATGTATTTACATTTATACCACTCCAATCCTTCAAACCACAAAAAATACCACTCTTTTAACCTTTAAAAAGTAAAATACACTATTTTCATGTATAAAAAAAAATGAAAAAATTAAAGTTTGTGTTAGATATGTAAACACATAAGAATTGAGTGGTATGTATGTAAAATCTTCCTCACAAAAAAATAAAAATAAAAGCAATTACAAAGTCCAAAAAAGGAAAACGAATAAAAATTATGAAAAAAAAAGGGAATGCAATATGCTCCTTTGCCTTAAAAAAATGAATTGTTCAAATGAGTCCAACAAATAATCATTTTTACCAAATAAAAAAAAAATGAATAAAATAATTAATAAAAAATATTACATGCTTGCCACGCATTTATGGGCCCCACTAAACAAATTGAATAAAAAAATTATATGAGAAATTATATACAATCTTTCAGAATAAAATGAGTCATAGAAGAATATTGAACTGAGGGCTTTACTTTAAAAATTGAGATTTGGACATATCTGCAAAATTGTGTATTCACAAAAACTTAAGTGAATTTCCTGCCACACACACAGAGGATTACTGCCAGCGTTTTGAGAGGGGCTTAGCTGGGGATAAAGTTGCATGGCTATGGTTGTTCTTTAAGCCTGAAATGTTTTATAGAGTGAAAAAAAGAAAAGAGGAAGCTTATATTAGTATGATATTCTTAACAAATCAAATTGATTTCTGTATAATTTCATAGACAAATAGCTAAGGACATCAGAAGCATAAAATTATTGGGAGATTTACATACAGGCCACACAATTCTTGTTCATTCACATATCTAACACCTAAATTTTGATATTTACATGCATGTGAATATAAAAGTTTAATAAGAGTTAGATATGCAGATGCATAAGAATTATGTGATATATATTTGGAGTTTCCAGCTATTTATTTATGTTTATGGAATAAGATACTGTTTCAGGCTTTATTAGTTTGCTGATAAATGCAAAAGAGTTTTAAAAAACGTGGAAGTCATTAGATTCTATCATTTGGGCCGAATTGTAATTAAATTGACAAGCGCATTGTTATGTTTCTCCAAAGAATCCAAATTTGAAACAAGCGCATTGTTATATTTCTCCTAAAAATCAAAATTTGATGAGGTAGACAAAACAAAGTGTGACAGTTGACAATTCTGCTTCGAGAGTTTTTTTATAGATCCATCTCATCATTTGGACCGATCTGTAATTAAATTGACAAACGCATTGTTATGTTTCTCCAAAGAATCCAAATTTGATGAGGATTTAGGTAGACAAAAGAAATTTGGGAAAACACTTCTACTTTGGAGTTTGTTTGTAGATCCATCTCACCAATGCATACACAACTTCCAACTTTTAAATGTTAATTTCTTTGGGCAGTATATAATTTTTCAAAAAAAAAAAAAACTGGATTTTGTACTCTAAAATTCGTTGAATGTAAAATATTCCTTTTTTTTGCATAAGAAATGAATACAACAACAACAACAAGTTCTTATCCCACTAAATAGGGTCGACTACATGAATCCTTTTTCTCCATTGTCCTATTGAGTGTCATATTTTCATTTGATTCTAATAAATGAAGATCATTTTTTTATATAATATTCTCAAATATTTTTAGGTCTATCTCTAATTTTCTTAACATAAGTTAAATCTAAAACATTACTCGTCTAATTGGGCCATCAAATGATTGATGTTTTAAGTGAACAGACCATCTAAGACGGCTTTCTCTAATCTTGTATGCCACTAGAGCTACTCCAACCCTTTTACAGATATATTTGTTTCGCATTTTATCTCCAAGTATAAAGCCAGCAATCCACCCTAGCATTCTCATTTCATCAACACTTAATTTTATGCTTCCCTATAAATAAACAGTAAAAACATCCATAACTAAAACAAAAAGAAGTGGGCTTAAAGACAATCTCTAATAAATTCACTTGATTCTACTAGGAGATTACTTTCAACGAAATATATCCATGATACAACTGGCTTCAACAAAAGAAGTGTTATGGTATGACTCATATACCATATCGGGACAAACGCTGGATCGAAGCGGATCGGAGCGGAGCGGAAGAATCTGTCCAAATTGGGAAGTTACGTGGGTTGGGGTGCGGGGGGCAAAGCCCCGCGGTTTGGTACAGGGGTAATGTTGTAATTACATATTGTGTCTAGATTTACTCCTGGGGTTATAAATAGGCATGTTAGTAATCTCAGGAGGTACCCCTGGTTTCTGTAAACCTTTTCTGAATAGTGAAAGAAACTCGCCGCTCTGCTCCCGAGGACGTAGGCATCTTTGCCGAACCTCGTTAAATCTCTGTGTTCTTCTGGATTTGTGTCGATTACTGTTTTTCTTCGCCCTAATTTTCTCAATAAGTGGTATCAAAGCTTGGTTCGAGGGCAGGGAAGAAGATCGACGGCGGCGCGGGCTTCTTCTGCAGAACAGGCGGAGCAGAAGAAAGCAGATCGAATCGCATCGCGGTTCTCCCGTGACAGACACAGGCACAGGTGTACGGCAAATTCGGCGGCTTGTGGGGGGTTTCGGCGATTTGGCTTGGCGAAGTTCGGGACTTCGGTACGCGTGTTCGGATC